GCTTGTAGCCTTTAGTTGAGCTGCTGTAACCCAACAATAAACTCAGGCTTGCACTCGGGTTCAGCTTTTTCTTCCGTTGTCGAGACTTCGGCGGAATGCGCACCCACGTAAGACATCTTCATGTCCGAAGGACACTTATATCTGGATTCACACCGTACAATTTTGAATGTGGCGAAACAAATTCAAGTGCTGTGGTTGGTAGTACGCTCAACGTGTGCACCACATGCAGCAGTGCATCACCCCACAACATATTGGGTAGGCGCGTAGAAGTCAGCATTGCTCTGATGCGCGGTAGCACCACTCCGTTTTCATTCTCAGCAATGCCGTTTTCTTGGGGCGCGTATGCGCTCGTGAGCTGCTGAATAAGTCCACGTTGTTCACAGAAATTTCGCAGTTCAATATTTGCAAATTCGCCACCTTGATCAGCATGCAGTCGCTGCACACGGTAGTCCTTAAACTGAGTTTGCAACTCGTTCAGCAACTTGATAATAAAAGTAGTGGCTTCACTCTTCTTCCCGAGCTCAAACACCCACTTAAATCGAGTCGCTTCGTCGATCACAAAAACGAAACATCGTAGCTCCACTAGTAGTAGGTTCAGTCATCGAGTAAATGTCCATCACCAGTATCGAAAGATGCTGCAGCTCCCGCGCAGGTCGTCGCGCATGATGCATTCTCTTAGCCTTACTTAAATGGCACGCAACACAGTCGTAAGAGCTCAGATCTTTCGCATTAACTTTAACTACAACATGCAACTTGTTTGTCATCGCCTTCATTGTGTCCATGCTCAAGTGACCGAGGCGCTGATGGAGCAGTTTTATAACGTTCTCACAGCTCTTCTCCTTCCTCTGCACCGCACACCATCACTCGAGCAACATGTGCAACACGTAGACGGTAGATGTTGTCACGCATGTCAAAGCGCAATGCACAACCAGCTTTAGACAGCCACGCAGTTCTCTGGTCGTCCGAGCAAGTAAACTTGAACCGGCCAGTCATTTTGCATGTATCCAAGACTGATAATGTTTATCTTCGCGTTTGAAACGTAAATCACTTCATCCAGCAGTTTGGCCTCCAATTTACCAGTGACCTGATTCCATACGCGAAACTATACAGTCCCACAAACAGTTGTCGATAACGACGTTCCGTTAGCAAAGTCATGTCTACTGGCAGACTGATTTGTCAAAGTAGTGAACAGTGATAAATCATTGCATACATTTGCCTGGGAGCCAGAGTCAAGAATCCACTCGACAAAGTTCTCAGGCGCTTGCATACCTTCATTCCGGCGAATTGCATTCACCATACGCGGTTCACTTCGACGAGCACCGTTAAATCCGCGCCGGTCGCTGTGGCGTGGTGGTGAGGGCCCACGACGCTCATTGCGCCACGGCGACCTGCCTCTCTCGCGTGGTGGTGACCAACGCTGCTGCTGGTAGTCACGATAGTGTGGCGACATCGGTCGGCGCCTATCTCCACGATAATCTTAACTTTGGTCATTGTAGGGGCCCCGCGATGAGGAGCGTCCTGGGCGATCAAAGCGACATGGAGATCTTCCTCGATCATCAACGCGACGTGGTGTCCAAGCACGGTCATCACGTCTCGTGTAGTCATCTCCGTGTCCTTGGCTCCAATCGCCGCGTGATAGTCTGTAACTGCAATCCCCAGCAAGATAAATTCCCTCGTGATCCTCGCTGATCTTGGTGGTGACGGACTGCGTACGCCCCAAATGTACTTAGCTGTATTCCACTGTCGTCTTGCACCCGACGTTCCAAATGATCGCTTCGAAGTTGCAACTGCTGAGATGCAGTAGGGACATCCATTAATACAACACTCGGTCCAGCTTGATCAGGACTGGCCGGTGTCGTCGGCGAGTAGGCAGGTGAGGCAGCAGATGTAGCTGAAGTACCAACGCGTTGAACGACACGGTCTTGCTGTACAATCCCAACGTGTCCAACGAAAGGGGTCGCAGGACGCTTGCCCTTGAACTTCAACTTCTTACACCAATTCTGGTTTCAACGGCTGACCCGTCACGGCAGTACACTCGGCATACCAACAACCGACTTTGTCGCAGTTGCCGCACTTGGTCCGATCCTTCTTCTTCTTCAGCTCGCCCGCCTTGCCTGCACTTCGTTTCTTCTTGCCGGCATTGCGTCCTTGGACTACATAGCTCACTTGTTCTGCACGTGGCGCAGCCACAGATGATTTCAAGTTGTCCACTTGTAAGCGAGCTCGCTCTGATTGGCGTAGTCGACGCGTGGCTTCAGCACGAGTTAGCGAGCGACGATCATTTTTGCTACACCAGACTGTGTGTTGTTCCGCCAGCTCACGGAACACACGCTGCGAGTTAGAGATTAGTAAGCTTGCATGCTCCCACTCCTCCATCTGGCCGTATGCTCGATGCAGCTGTCGCACCAGCTCTTTGCTCTTAGTCACGTAGGAGTCTATGGTCTGACCCAGCTTAAGCTCATGGTTAAGTACATCTCACAGTATGTAGGTCGGGTTCACACCATCGCCCTTGATGAAGTGTACCATAATGCGGTCCCAGAGCAATGATGGAGCTTCCATCTGGTCCTTGAGCTCGTCCACCTTGAACATCTCACGCAAGTTCATGTCCAAGGACAGCGTCATGGCCGTGAATGCCATCGATCGACGCGTGTCGTACCAAGTATGATACGTCTGGCTGTTCAGTCCTGTCACAGGGTTGTAGCGCTCCGCACCATAAGTGATCGCACTCAGCTTGTAAGTGGGAAACCGCAAGGTAACCTCACGCTCCCACTTGTCGAAGTCCTTCTTGTTGTCCGACAGCTTGGGCAAGGGCACCTTCTTGCCAAGCACCTTCTCAGTGTGGCGTCCGAGCTCCTCGTCGTCGTAACTGGCGCCGAAGTGGTTGTCCAGCATACTGGTTCCGTGTGACGAGGCTCGGATGAGCGTGTCGTCTGACTGCTCAGTCCTATCACAGAGTTGTAGCGCTCCGCACCATAAGTGATCGCACTCAGCTTGTAAGTGGGAAACCGCAAGGTAACCTCACGCTCCCACTTGTCGAAGTCGTTCTTCTTGTCCGACAGCTTGGGCAAGGGCACCTTCTTGCCAAGCACCTTCTCAGTGTGGCGTCCGAGCTCCTCGTCGTCGTAACTGGCGCCGAAGTGGTTGCCCAGCATACTGGTTCCGTGTGACGAGGCTCGGCTGTGCGTGTCGTCTGGGGCTTCACTTCCTCCTTATTTCCTGGGTTCACTTGGCGCACTTGGTTCGCTGGGCACCGGCGGACATTGAGAGGCGCGATGGGGGGGGCTGTTTCTTCAGGACGGCGTCTGTCAAGTTCTCTATCTCGAGCGCTCTAGTCTCTCACTCGGTTCACCAAGCGATGATGAGAATCTTTTACCAATAAAGTAAGGAGTTCGACACCATGTGGCATTTCAGCCAATCGGCGTCCAAACGCTTCTGCGAGCAAGATCGACTCACTTGAGTGACCTGATGGCGGTTGACTAACTTCAGCGGGTTGCTGCAAGACTTCTGGTGAATCATCGTCTCCTTCGACTCGTTCTGCTCTCTGTCTGGGGTCACAACCTGAAATGGCGCGTCATGCGTCACTGGGGTGGCACGAGCTCCTTGGCTGCGTGTAGTAGTCATTGTAGATGGCTTCAGTACAGTAGGATAAGTGTACCCCCTAAAAGGCACTTAATAAAGACACGTGAATGCCGAGGCAGAACGCCACGACAGGCGAGTGATGATCTGGCGCAGTGAAGTCTCTGTCTTGAGCCGCAGGCGTCAAGTTCCAAAGTGAGACATCATGGCAAATACCACTCGCCGCAGCCAATAGATTAGGTTGCACATAACTCTAATATACCGACTAAATCTAAGTCAAATGTGAGCAAACGCAATTTGCTCACAGCCATTAGTTCACCTCTGCATACATTTGTCAGGTCTGTCGCAACTTGTCTGATAGGCTTGATCGCCCGTTCACGGTGTCAATGCCGCGCGTGGCTCCTCGCTCAGGATCCGTGTCGTGATGTGCAGCTTTGTGTGTGCCTGGATGTGGGTTGCATTTCACGGGACTAATACTGCGGCATCTCTTCAGCCTCACAATATCGCATGTAACGTGTCGTCTGTTTGCATAATCCTTCCGCCGCTACTCAAACGGCTTCTCCACTATGTCCGTGATCTAGAAGCTGGTATATCATACGAGTAAAGGGTAAGATTCGAGTATACATGCAGTTTGATCTCCGCAGCCAGTTCAGGACGAATTTTCTTTCCGCTGAGTATTCACAGAGCTCACTGGTCCTGCCTCGTGGTGAATGAATATACGCAGACTGTGTGCTGCTGCGATAGCATGGACAAGCGCGATAACCACAGCTTGCTTGCAGAGCTGGCAGATGAGATAGTGAAGAAAAGGCTTTCGAAGGCTTTTAGCATCACGGCCGTACATAGCCCCATCCAGAAAGACGGTGATAACTGCGAATATTCATATGTTTGTACTTCTGACGCCGGTTCTGGAATGGAGCAGGCAGCAATTACTGGGCCAATGGATTGTTACGCTGTCGATGGGATATCCTGCGTACCATCATGGAGGTTAGCGACGAAAGCAACGACAAAAAGAAGCTAGCCGAGTAGACACAGTTATCTAAGTCCAAAAACATACATTTCTCCATGTTTCTATGTTTTCATGACTTCATGCTTTGACATGAGTACAGCAAACTCTCTAATTATAAAAGGTTGCTTGGCCTTGTTATACAGTAGTTGAGAAATGTCTGACAAAACCAAAGCGCACTCATTCTTCAATTTTCACACCCTACTGTGAATAATGGTTGCCCATGTCACGCCATATCACATATATATTCAGCATAAATTTCACGCTCCTCGTAATTTAATTTTTAGAATCATGGACAAAACTTAGCGATACATGACACAAGTCCACGATTTGGCCACCTAACCCTTTCAGAAAACATGGGCTGTAGCATCCGCCAAAGAAAAACAGGAGACTTCTAAAGTAATTATTTACAGTCGGGCTTTTAGTTGGTTTGTAGTTGCCTGTATCTACCTTCTGTATTCTGCACCATTTCATCGTGGGTACTGATCTCGACTATTGCCCCCGATCCATGACTGCCAGCATTGCGAAGCGTTAAAAAGCCGATATGCTACGATGAGCGTCGTGCGTTGTTTGAGCTTGAGCAACCTGTTTAGAGAGTATTGCACGATCCTTTCGATCTCGTTGTCCAGAGCACTTGTCGCTTCGTCGAGCAGTAGGATGTCTGGATCTCGAACGATAGCACGTGCCAACGCAATACGCTTCTACTGGACGCCCGAAATGTGGCCACCACGATCGCCAACGTTGGTTTCAAACCTCCGGTAGGTTGCGAATAAAGTCCAGTGCTCTGGCGTCTTGAACAGCTTGAATGATCTCTCTTCTCGAGTTGCATCGAGTTTGCCGAGCGCAACATTTTCAGCAGTTGTCATGGCAAAGAGAACAGGCTCCTGACCCACGAGTGATATACGATCACGAAGCCACGGAAGACTCAGTTGGCGGAAATTCACGCCACAAATCCAGTGTGAGGGTCGTGAACTCGCTCCACCAATGCAATTGCTGTGCTCTTGCCACAGCCACTAGCCCCGAAAAGAGCTACCGTTTGTCCAGGGGTAATCTTAAAGTCGTACCCGCGGTAGATCTGAGCCTCCTCTCTCGACGGGTAAGCAAACTGCACGTCACGGAATTCCAGACTCTCTTTGACCGACGAAAACGTTTTGCCGTCGGTCGACAGAGCGTCGATTACTGGGACGCGATCAATGATCTCGAAAATGTTCTCTGCTGCCTGTTGCGCTCTCTTAGGATCGGTAGCTCCTTGTGCTGCAGAGCCGATGGAGAAGGAGCTGAGTGAGAGGACCATGAGCATCACGAACATGTCTTCGAACGTGATGGTGCCGTGTGAGATCCACCGCGAACTTACGTAGAAGAGAAGTGCTGCAATGAGTAGCACCATCCCAAGCGAAAAGCCGAGCGCCGCCCCCGACACAAGTCCACCTCTTGTGTCGGTGCGCTTGGACACCTCCAATAGCTCTTTGTACTTGGAGCTCAGCTCTTGCTCCATGCCCAGAGAGGCCACCGCTAAGAGGATGAGAGTCAACACCCAACTGAAGTAAAAGCAGACTGCAAACACAATCACCAGAGTCGACACGGTCACCATTAGTCGATTCAGTGTCTCCGAAGTCAGTGCCAGCAGCGTGGTAGAATCGCTGGACAGACGAGCGAGAAATACTCCTGAAGCATTTTCCGGCATGTCAAACCAGCCAATATCTTGACGCAACATGACGCTGCAGGCAGCGAGACGTACACGCGCGATGAGTCGTTCGGACGCCACAGCAAAGCAATAGTGCTGCAATAATTTCGAAAAACCGAAGGCGACACCAAGACCAACGACCAATACCGCACGCCATGCTCCGTCTTTGTGAAGTCAAAGAAAAGCACAGTGATCTTTGCCATCATAAGGCCCCACGCAGGGAATACACCCGCGTTCAGCCGCATGTTTGACCTGTTCGTCCGACGCGGACGGAGCTCCGTGAAGAATATTATCCATAATGGTGGTAGGAAACAGAGTCGGCTCCTGGTTGACAAGCCCAACCTGCTGGCGAAGCCACTTGACATTCAATTCACGCACATTTACACCGTTGATGGACACGACCCAGCTAGTAGCGAAACCATGATGCTTTTCCCACTTCCACTCGGCCCGACAAGTGCCACCCTTTCTCCAGCTTTGATTGTCAGCTGTACACTTGGGCGTCTAGGCGAGAAGGGTATGCGAGCGATACGTTTTTGATCGCAATCTTGCCCGCCACTTTGTCCAGAGTCTTGCCGTCCTCACTGAGTGGGTCGATAAGAGACGTTCGGGGAATCGTCCGGAAGATGTCGTAGGCTGCAGCTCGTGATAGTGGGTCGATTAGAGACGTTCGGGGAATCGTCCGGAAGATGTCGTAGGCTGCAGCTCTTGCCCCGACGAGGGCTTCTACGCTGGGAGCTGCCTGTCCTATAGCCATCCATCCAGTCAACAGGGCCGCCGAAAAATAAATGGCACTTACAGTAATGGTCATAAATAATATCACATTATTTATGAGTCGTGAAAAGTAGTAGATCATAATTTATGCCACCAAGGTGCTATTTTCATGCATAATTTATGAGAAGGTACACTTCTTACTTAGGTTAGTATGCGGAAAAGCTTACCTTCGGTTAGCCTCTCCGAACCAATCATATATTCAAACATCTATCCGACACACTGCCTCCTCACTTTCCAATTTTCTACTTCTCCTACAAGCTCTACACCTCATGCTAGCTACGCCTCGTCCCCGGTCAACTTTCTCCAACGCCCAGATTGTGGCGTACCGTGCCGTGACCAGTACGATGAGCTTGTGCCGGAGTACTTTCGCTGCCGCTGCGGTAAGGTACGCAAGCAGACGAGCCGAAATGACTACACCAATCTCATGCAGCATGTGCGCAGCGAACAGGCGGTTGGCAACCATCATGCAAGTGCCTTTGGTTGGATGCTCTAGTCACCGACTAAATCGAGCCGTTCGTCAGCACATGGCCCAACACGACGACGATTTGGCTGCAGTGCAAGCCCTGATGACCAAGCTGAGGACGATTAAGCAGTCGGCGAAACTTCGGTAAGTAATTTTTACTTTACTATTGATATTAATACTAATACCTTGTTGTGTTACTATTATGCCACTAATATGATATTTTTAATTGGTGTTTTTATTACTAGATTTAAGACTCCACTTCGCCCAGTCATTCGACAGGACACTCGCTGGGGGTCCACCTTCGCGATGGTACATCGCTATTTCGCTCTACTGGAGTTCCTAGACCAAGACGACGAAGAACTTCAGGACCTGCTTCCGTCTGCGGCATGCAACCGTCGTCTTAAGACGCTCTACGCAGATCTCAAGGACTTCGAGTCGGTTTCTTTTTCCAAGGCCTTACAAGCGGAGAGTGTGAGCCTACTGGACGTGCGAGTCTGGTTCGACGGGCTTATCGAAGCCCATCCCGCGTTCGCTGCTTTTATCGGTACGTTATCCAATGTTACCACTGTTTTTTTAATATTCACTAACTAATTATGATACACGCAGGACCTCGAGCAAATATCGTTCATAGCCCAGACTTTGAGCCGGGCTGTGTCCGTGTACTCAAAGGAAATGGAGCCCGCCTCACCGCGTCGGAGAAGCGGGCTCTTCGTCCATTTCTCGAAGTAGCCACGGACCCGACAAACCATAAACCCGACACACGATCACGAAGCCACGGAAGACTCAGTTGGCGGAAATTCACGCCACAAATCCAGTGTGAGGGTCGTAAACTCGCTCCACCAATGCAATTGCTGTGCTCTTGCCACAGCCACTAGCCCCGAAAAGAGCTACCGTTTGTCCAGGGGTAATCTTAAAGTCGTACCCGCGGTAGATCTGAGCCTCCTCTCTCGACGGGTAAGCAAACTGCACGTCACGGAATTCCAGACTCTCTTTGACCGACGAAAACGTTTTGCCGTCGGTCGACAGAGCGTCGATTACTGGGACGCGATCAATGATCTCGAAAATGTTCTCTGCTGCCTGTTGCGCTCTCTTAGGATCGGTAGCTCCTTGTGCTGCAGAGCCGATGGAGAAGGAGCTGAGTGAGAGGACCATGAGCATCACGAACATGTCTTCGAACGTGATGGTGCCGTGTGAGATCCACCGCGAACTTACGTAGAAGAGAAGTGCTGCAATGAGTAGCACCATCCCAAGCGAAAAGCCGAGCGCCGCCCCCGACACAAGTCCACCTCTTGTGTCGGTGCGCTTGGACACCTCCAATAGCTCTTTGTACTTGGAGCTCAGCTCTTGCTCCATGCCCAGAGAGGCCACCGCTAAGAGGATGAGAGTCAACACCCAACTGAAGTAAAAGCAGACTGCAAACACAATCACCAGAGTCGACACGGTCACCATTAGTCGATTCAGTGTCTCCGAAGTCAGTGCCAGCAGCGTGGTAGAATCGCTGGACAGACGAGCGAGAAATACTCCTGAAGCATTTTCCGGCATGTCAAACCAGCCAATATCTTGACGCAACATGACGCTGCAGGCAGCGAGACGTACACGCGCGATGAGTCGTTCGGACGCCACAGCAAAGCAATAGTGCTGCAATAATTTCGAAAAACCGAAGGCGACACCAAGACCAACGACCAATACCGCACGCCATGCTCCGTCTTTGTGAAGTCAAAGAAAAGCACAGTGATCTTTGCCATCATAAGGCCCCACGCAGGGAATACACCCGCGTTCAGCCGCATGTTTGACCTGTTCGTCCGACGCGGACGGAGCTCCGTGAAGAATATTATCCATAATGGTGGTAGGAAACAGAGTCGGCTCCTGGTTGACAAGCCCAACCTGCTGGCGAAGCCACTTGACATTCAATTCACGCACATTTACACCGTTGATGGACACGACCCAGCTAGTAGCGAAACCATGATGCTTTTCCCACTTCCACTCGGCCCGACAAGTGCCACCCTTTCTCCAGCTTTGATTGTCAGCTGTACACTTGGGCGTCTAGGCGAGAAGGGTATGCGAGCGATACGTTTTTGATCGCAATCTTGCCCGCCACTTTGTCCAGAGTCTTGCCGTCCTCACTGAGTGGGTCGATAAGAGACGTTCGGGGAATCGTCCGGAAGATGTCGTAGGCTGCAGCTCGTGATAGTGGGTCGATTAGAGACGTTCGGGGAATCGTCCGGAAGATGTCGTAGGCTGCAGCTCTTGCCCCGACGAGGGCTTCTACGCTGGGAGCTGCCTGTCCTATAGCCATCCATCCAGTCAACAGGGCCGCCGAAAAATAAATGGCACTTACAGTAATGGTCATAAATAATATCACATTATTTATGAGTCGTGAAAAGTAGTAGATCATAATTTATGCCACCAAGGTGCTATTTTCATGCATAATTTATGAGAAGGTACACTTCTTACTTAGGTTAGTATGCGGAAAAGCTTACCTTCGGTTAGCCTCTCCGAACCAATCATATATTCAAACATCTATCCGACACACTGCCTCCTCACTTTCCAATTTTCTACTTCTCCTACAAGCTCTACACCTCATGCTAGCTACGCCTCGTCCCCGGTCAACTTTCTCCAACGCCCAGATTGTGGCGTACTTCTACTCACCGTGCCGTGACCAGTACGATGAGCTTGTGCCGGAGTACTTTCGCTGCCGCTGCGGTAAGGTACGCAAGCAGACGAGCCGAAATGACTACACCAATCTCATGCAGCATGTGCGCAGCGAACAGGCGGTTGGCAACCATCATGCAAGTGCCTTTGGTTGGATGCTCTAGTCACCGACTAAATCGAGCCGTTCGTCAGCACATGGCCCAACACGACGACGATTTGGCTGCAGTGCAAGCCCTGATGACCAAGCTGAGGACGATTAAGCAGTCGGCGAAACTTCGGTAAGTAATTTTTACTTTACTATTGATATTAATACTAATACCTTGTTGTGTTACTATTATGCCACTAATATGATATTTTTAATTGGTGTTTTTATTACTAGATTTAAGACTCCACTTCGCCCAGTCATTCGACAGGACACTCGCTGGGGGTCCACCTTCGCGATGGTACATCGCTATTTCGCTCTACTGGAGTTCCTAGACCAAGACGACGAAGAACTTCAGGACCTGCTTCCGTCTGCGGCATGCAACCGTCGTCTTAAGACGCTCTACGCAGATCTCAAGGACTTCGAGTCGGTTTCTTTTTCCAAGGCCTTACAAGCGGAGAGTGTGAGCCTACTGGACGTGCGAGTCTGGTTCGACGGGCTTATCGAAGCCCATCCCGCGTTCGCTGCTTTTATCGGTACGTTATCCAATGTTACTATTGTTTTTTTAATATTCACTAACTAATTATGATACACGCAGGACCTCGAGCAAATATCGTTCATAGCCCAGACTTTGAGTCGGGCTGTGTCCGTGTACTCAAAGGAAATGGAGCCCGCCTCACCGCGTCGGAGAAGCGGGCTCTTCGTCCATTTCTCGAAGTAGCCACGGACCCGACAAACCATAAACCCGACACACGATCACGAAGCCACGGAAGACTCAGTTGGCGGAAATTCACGCCACAAATCCAGTGTGAGGGTCGTAAACTCGCTCCACCAATGCAATTGCTGTGCTCTTGCCACAGCCACTAGCCCCGAAAAGAGCTACCGTTTGTCCAGGGGTAATCTTAAAGTCGTACCCGCGGTAGATCTGAGCCTCCTCTCTCGACGGGTAAGCAAACTGCACGTCACGGAATTCCAGACTCTCTTTGACCGACGAAAACGTTTTGCCGTCGGTCGACAGAGCGTCGATTACTGGGACGCGATCAATGATCTCGAAAATGTTCTCTGCTGCCTGTTGCGCTCTCTTAGGATCGGTAGCTCCTTGTGCTGCAGAGCCGATGGAGAAGGAGCTGAGTGAGAGGACCATGAGCATCACGAACATGTCTTCGAACGTGATGGTG